CAAACCGAAAAAGCCACAAAGCTTCTTCAATTGCTTTGTTTTAAAATGTGAAACAGTAGAAATTGCATTTAGCTTTCTTTCTCTGTAGGTTGAATTGCTGCCTGGCAATAATTGACTTGTTTTGTTCCACATCTCATGGTTTGTGGGAGAAGACACAGTGACTAACTCCATGCAGTTAAAGGCAGGAATAGGAACTACAAAGTAGACATATATCCAATTTTAAGGGAGTGAGCTGGTAGAGAACTTGCTTTGATTTTTTATAATTGCAGTTTAGTCTTCCTTCACTTAGAATGGACTTTCTTTGGCTTAACGAATATGAAAGAAAGCCTCCCAAAAGCAAATAAGCCTTGCTTGGTCAAAGAGTTCAATATAACATGTTTTGCCTGATCTTGGATGGATACAAAGCTCTCAACATGAAACTTATTTTTCTTCGGGCTGGATTTATTTTAGTAACAGTACAATTTATCTTTGATCAAATCGCCTCAGCTTGGGGGTGCTGAGCTGCCTTGAGCACAGCATTGAACCCATGGGGCTTTGGGTTCATTTTGCCTTGAAGCACATATTATTTTTTGCTAAAAGTAGTCTTGGCATGTGTTTAGCTCTGTCATCCTGAGTAATTTACTTCATGACCACTAACCACAGCATCATGCCCCATATTATTTTCTCCAAGGTTTTGATGACAATTGGAATCATGTTGTAGAAATCTTGGTTCCTGCAGCCAAGCTCATGGCATAACATTGTACCACAACAGAGCTGAAGGAGAATGTGTACAATAGGTTATGCATTTATGTGTTCCAACATGGACTTCACTGAGGTTACCATCTGTTTTGTATGGGGGTTCATTTACGCATTTGGTTTGTAAATGAATGGTCTGGCACGCATGTTCTGTTGCAAAGTTACTGTTTGATGTTGATAAGAACAGCAATAACCCTAGATATGAATAGAATTGAATTAATGAGGAAATGGTTGTTCTCCTTTCTCATGGCCCGAGAAAGAAAGATACCTTTGACCTTTGTTTATCATTAGATCATTATCTTTAAAACAGAAAAAGACACCAGCACAATACACTTACATGATCAAAGGGACAATATCCACGGCATCAGAATAACTAACAGTACCCCCCTTAAAAGGACATCTTAAAGTCCAAATTAAGAGCGCTAAGTGCTGCTGATTCTGCGGACATACTGTACTGTAATGGCATTTGGTTACAAATCTCAAGCATGTAACTATTATCATGAATACTTCCGTTCGGTAAGCTCTCGTCATATTATTTCTGTTGGTCACTAAAATGACTAACCTGGCCTATCTGAACATAAAATGTTGAAGTTTATAATTAGCTGTCATTTGACTAAGATTTTTCTCTAAAATATTGAGTTTTGCTAGTCCTCTTAATGATTACAGACTTGGTGAAATAAATCATATTCCTTTACTTCATGCAGCATGAAGAAATTGTTGTTGTCTTGTTGATCAGTGAAACAATGCTGACCTCAAAACAAAGTTATTCAATACATCATTCATGTTTGCCTTCTTTACTACAATGGCCCGATACTGTTGCCTCTCAGTTGAGTGTCAGTATAATGCAATACAACAATCAGTATGCATACTAAAAACCCTCAAATGTTGGAGGTATGTTGATCTAGAGTTATTATTTGTTGAACAAGGCATTGCAGAAGATAAATGGATGGTATACTCACAGCTGAATAATAAAGAACATTTTGACTTTGCACGGTATGAAAAGCACAGTTGTTACTAAATACACGACCAATATTTCTTTTTTATTCAAGTTTTCAAACAGGCCATGAAAATGTGGTAGGGTATCAGCATGAACAAACCAGAATACTGAAACTAGAGCTGCTTAATGAAATGCAGCCACGTGTCAAAATGTCTTCTGTGAAATTGAAAATGGTGGTGGGGCCGCACCAACAAATAGGCTTTAAATCATTAGAGGAAAATTATGCTTTCTTTTTATGAAGTTGAATGTGCAGTGGCACTTTGAAGTCTCTCATAGACTGTTGTTGAATTCTTGTACACTTATGGCAGTTAGTGTATAAAATGAAATTGGGACGTGTTTATCAGAGGAGGCTGTCGGCACTCACCACAGAAGATAGCATCCACCACAGTTCAGATTTATCAGAAGTTTCCCTTGAACATCATGCAGCAATAAGGTGGTAACAAAACAAACACCTTACTGTCATAAAGAGTGATAAGACATAGACAGAAATGACTAACTGCACAGACAGTTTGTCGCCTGAACTGACTGTGGCTGTGTTTAATGTATGTGTTCTGCAGCACACTGTTATCAACACTGACCATATCTTATTAATGCTGCACCCTGGATCATTAAAGAGACTAGACATTATCTAAGGCATATTTGTTTAGCAGTTTTGCCTCAAAACAATTAAGTGTAGTCTTCACTGGCTAATCTCTTGTCTTAAAGTCCAGAGAGCAGCTATTTGAGCACAAAGCTATAATCATTGTGTCTCTTTATTGTCGCAATTTTTAGGGACTTAAAGGTGGGGTATGTAATTTTGGAGAAACCAGCTCGAGTGCGCTAGAATTTGAAAATACACAACCGGAAAAAATCTGCCACTTCCTTACAGAGCCCCTCCTCCAACACACACGAACGCGCACATGACCAATGAGGGCACGAGATAAGTTTGTGCACAGATGGAAGGCTGACAGGCAGGTAGGCCATCCAGTTATTTTAGCCGGGCTGGCTCAGATGATTGGTCGTGCTTTTTACAGCGCTACGGCTTCCACAGATGACATTTTTTTATGTATTTATTGTCAAAGCATTTAATATATTCATTGCTATCGGGATGTTGTTATATTCCATTCCATGGAATATAACAAAAAGTGTTTCTGAAATAAATTACATACCCCACCTTTAAAGGTAGGGTAGGTAAGTTTGAGAAACCGGCTCGAGATACACTTTTTGTTATATTCCATGGAATGCTCTTAACATCCCGATAGCAATGAATATCTTAAGTGCTTTGACAAAAAATCCATAAAAGAATTTCATCTGTGGAAGCCGTAATACTGTAAAAAGTACGACCAATCATTTTAGCCGGCCCGGCTAAAATAACTGGATGGCCTACCTGCCTGTCAGCCTTCCATCTGTGCACAAACTTATCTCGTGCCCTCATTGGTCATGTGCGCGTTCGTGTGTGTTGGAGGAGGGGCTCTATAAGGAAGTGGCAGATTTTCTCCGGTTGTGTATTTTCAAATTCTAGCGATCTCGAGCCGGTTTCTCAAACTTACCTACCCTACCTTTAAGGCAGTTGAGAATACATAGGTAGAAACACACAAGTTATTAAACATTGCATCACAGTAGAGACAGACAGATTGTTTTAAAAATAAATTAGCTTTACAAAGGCTGATCTTCTTAATTTTCAATATAAATGTATCTACCAAGTGTTTTCTTGATTAATCATTTGGTGTATTAAAACATGTTCATTACAGTTGATCCAAAACCCAAGGGTACTCCATTTACTATCATAACAGAATAAAGCAGTACATCCACATTTACATTTTGCATTATAAAAAAACCTAAGCACAAAAGATTGCTCTTTTGTTGGCACAAGGTCAACATTACTGTTTTTTATAAGCATGTAGTGTCACTTCAACACAAGCAACCCTTCTAAAACAGCAGGCCTACTTCAGGTCTTTGTTGAATGGATGAATAGATTATACGTTGCTAAATGTGGAAGGCGTGCTTCCACTAGAAACTTGTAACTTGTAATTCAAGTACTTTTCAGGGCCACTCCCACAGACCAGGAAACAAAAAACAAACAATATACTCATTAGTATGCTGTTTGTATCTTTAAACATAATCCTCCCGGTTCAATAAATCATGGTTGTGTCTTTGAGCAATGGGCTGAAACTGCACTCGGGCCCCTGGAGCGAAACTGACCCCTGACCTCTTGGTAAACATAATGTCCTTTAAGGATTTTTACAGCCAGAGTTTAACCTGTTTTCAATTCCAGCTAAAGGGAATTTTTGTAAATGTATGCACTCCCACTCTTCAGCCTGTTATTGTGAATATCATTGCTCATAATGCTGGGTCACATAATGCTTAATGAAGTATTCAGATCATGGAGCGATCTGATGTCCCCCGGCATAATTTCCATCATCTGAGATTAGGAAAAAGGCACACTTCCATGGTTATATTTATGTGATTAGTGCTATCTATACGGACTGTTTGAATTATCCATATGATGACACTTATGTAACTGGCTTCTTACAGTCAACCCAACATAATGGTTAACTCTCTGTCTCTGGGTTAACACTCTGGGCTGTGGTCTGTAATTGACCTTTGACCTCCCTGTGGAAGCAAGAATGACCCGGAGCCATTTTAATTCAACAGTATCAGATTACTGCCTATAACAACCAGACAAAGCAAATCCCAAGAAGGAATTGATGTGTATCTGAAGAATTTGTTACAGCAGTTACTTATGATGATACACCTTAACCCTCCATTCCTATAGGTGTCAGTATAGTCGTCCATCCTACTCCCCTACCACTCCTCCTCCTCCCATCCACCAAACCTCCGCGAAAGGGTGTGCTTTTTGAAGGTTGTATGGAGCTAAACACCAACGCAGACAAGACCAGTCGCCACTCTTCGTTTGACAACCCGGGAAAAGCCACTGAAGGCTGGGCAGAGATCACACCTCGAGTCCCCCCCACCGCATCCTCCCTCTGGGCTGAGCCCCGACCGAGGTCTTCTTGTCCTCTCCTGAACACGGTGCTGGGAATGCCGCATATACGAACACTTGTATCAAAAAGTTGAATTACATAGGCTACGCGGCAAAAATGCAATGTGACAGCAGTGTGGCTTCTCTTCAAGGTCAGTATCTGAGCACCGCAGCCGCCTCACGGACGTGTTTCTCGGACAGTCGGAGGGAAGAAGAGGCGTGGAGGGGGATGCCGCTGAGTCTCCAGCATCAACAATGACATCTTTCACCAAGGAGGACATTCATAGCCACTGACACAACTTGTGAAACACCGCTGTAAGAAAAGAAAGGAAAGGCTTGCTTCTTTTACAGCACACTTGTCTGCATTGTTGTTAAAAGACATCCAGCATTTCGCCGTTTCCTGCTTTCTCACAACGGCCTGTGTCACTTTTTACCTGGCTACAAGCAACAACGCTAAAGTGAAGCTAGTTAGTTGACAGAATGGATGTTTGGTTCGGTTTAAGCCAAATAAGTTGTGTTGAACTTCCTTGAACTAGTTTGGTTTTCAAGCGGACTTTTAACCCACTCATTTATTTTAAAATAACATCGCCTTCTTTCGTTCAACAACATGCCTGCGAAGAGAGATTCACACAGCCCGGCCGGAAGAGTTTACCGGAGCGGGGGCTGCTCCTGCTGATCGTGCTGGTTTTACTGCAGGGATCCGTGCTTCCTCTCGGGGCTGCTAGCTCTCCCAATACCAGCCGCAATGACTATGTGGACAACCCCCAACTGAAAGAGGGAAAGTCCAACTACACTAAAAAGGCATTCCCTGTGCTCACCCTCGACTACCATCACATACAGGCCCCCTTTGAGATCTCATTATGGATCCTGCTGGCTTCCTTAATGAAATTAGGTGAGTATCATGTGAATGTCACGCATGCATTGTTGCTTGAAGCCCTGCATTTTTGTTCAGTCTTTCCAGGAAATGCTAGCTAAGGGGTTAGGTTAGCTATAGGTTTGGCTACAGGTGTGTAGTCATTGCAGGTTAGTTAGCATGTTTGCAGCCAGCTGTCCAGATGCACAATTACATGCGTATACAAACAAACATAGGTGGAGTCTGTTTTACCAGACTGCTCTTTGGATCAAAAGCACATGTTGAAGAGAATACATATTTCTGATTAATGTAGACAATTCAACTGATATAGTCTTATTGGGCTCACAATAATTGACTCAGAAAAAAACCCACCTATATCTTGCCAGTTACAGGATAATCTCTGCCCAGTAGGTCACCCTGCAGTGTGAATTCTTAATACCAATTAAATATGCCACTGGTATGCATGCTGACATAACAAGTTGGACCAGAATAGCTCAATTTACTCAGCTACTCAATAGTGAATCTATTTTGCTATACTCATCAGATCTGTCAGCCTCATGTTCAGAGGTCCCGGTCTTTTGCTAGTGCTGTCCTTACTTGTAGAAACAGTGATGACTAAGCGGCTTGGTGCAGCAAGGATGTCGAATAGCTACTATTTGGCAAGTTGTCAAGGGGAACCTTCTGCTATTTTGAGCCAAAGCCTTGAGGCATTGTCATAAAAGATGTCTCAAAAATGACATTTGAGTTGGGCTACTTCATTATTGTGCCAAACTTTACTACTTCTGTCCAGCTCCTCACTTTTCTCTGTTGCTTCGGTGTCTTCTGTGTCCTCACGCTTTATTGCTCCTTCTTTCTCCATTCCTTGTTGCTCTCCTTTCTTTCCTCTTACTTCCAATACACTGCCCTTGTTTCTCACTCTATGCCTCTTTGCATTGTGCTTCCCACAAAACACTGCATTGTCATCTGCTATCTTTTTCCGAGAGCCAGCAGCTTGTCAGTTGCCTGTGACACCGGGGCCATGACTGAGCACCAGCCTGTAGCCAGGGAAGATACTGCCTTACTGACTGGGCAAGAAGCCCAGGGTCTCCAGGGACCAGACTGGCAGAGAGGGACCACCTGGCTCGACTGGCTCTCTGTTAGGATGCAGCTCAAGGGCATTGAGTGAAAATGAGAGATGAGGATAAGGAGAGGGTGAGGTTAAGGAATGATGGAAGTCCAGAAATGAGGCAGTAGGAGTTTACCCGCTGACAGCAGCAGACATAAGTGACATTAAGCCTCTGATTTTCCAAGGATGGCTGAGAATGGGCTGTGGGTAATTTAATGTGACTGCTACACTGCTCAGCCTCGGCAGAGCGTCTTATTCACGTTCATGGTACTCATATTTTTCAAGCTTAAACGCACAGCCACAGTCAATTTATTTCTTAAGCAACGCCTTTCTGTCCTTATCTTTCACACGAATACTTTTCTTGGATTGATTATTCCCGGTGTGCAAAATATTTTTGATATAAATCAAAACCTAAATGATGTAATTTCTCTTAGAATATGCCCTAACATTGTCAAAGAAGGTGGCAAAGTCCTTTTTTATAGTTATGAAATGTCTTCTTTTTTGGCTCCTGTAATTAAGCTTCATGCCAGAATCATACAAAAATAACTATTCTTTAACGTTATCAATTTCTTTATCAATGGATGACATGAAAGCTCAGATTGACACTGCAAAACTATAAAACCCTCATAAAGTGATCCACTGTGTTGAAGAGAAGGGTGTGTTGAAAGATTGAGAGGTCTGTTATAATCAGGAATAATCAAAGTTTACAAGCTATTAAATAGATCTTGGTCTGTATTAGAATGAATAGTACACTGTTTTCGGGTGTGATGCTTATAATAATTTATGGACTGATCAAATATCCACCAGGCAGGTACCGACTTGAATGTTGACCTTTCAGTTTGGTCAGATCTGATTATATTCACTAGTACGTGTGGGAGTAGGACACACCTTTTTTGAATTGTCTCGGTGTGTTTGAAGCTGCTTGGCACCAGCATTTCTTTACTTCCAGCTAAGCTTTGTAACATGTATTATGAGTACAGTTAGGCTCAGCATCCATTTATAATTCAAAACTCTCCAAACAATTTGAGGAGAAGGTGTGTTACACTATTACATACAGAGCTGCTGTTATCCGATTATAGTTTTTGTTGAAGCGGGAGTTAAACTTCAACCAAAACCTTTATTCCTAGAGTAAAGAAAAGAGAGAGAGCATTGGCTAAACAGAGGCAAAGTAAATGAAAAACAGTATTTAGCTCCTTTGTGAGGCTTTGATATGGATTTGTTAAACAAACATTTCGGCAGTGCAAATTAAGAACTGAACTGATTGTTATAATCGCAGGCTTTGTTAATAATTAACAGACCTTTTGTATTCTTATTTCAGGTAGCTACAGCACAAAACGACAATAACCGTGTATCCTATAATCACATTTTTAAAGAGAAAGCTATTCAGTCAAAGTAGAAGTACCTATAGATCTTTGTAGAACAGTCAGAGTATTTGTTCTTCGTTTTGTCCTTTATACATACTATAGATCAGGAAGTGACATAAAGGGAAATGAATTTACTCATTCATTCCTGGGACAGCGTGGGTTCACTCGGGTCAAAAGGTTTAGTAGTGGGCGTATAAGTGCAGATTTTGAAAACATGCACAATTTCTTTCTTCACAAGTTCTTTGTGAACGTTAAATAAAGCACATATTGAATGGGAACTTAGTCTTTACACTTCCTTAGCGATCGGTGTTTAATATTGTTGCAACCTGGTTTTACCCCAATGAGGGAAAACTCACTGTCTGTTGTGTTAGAATTAATTGGTTTGTTTTATTTCTTACACCTAATGAATTGCAAAGATGTAGATCGTGTTTGTCGTTCTAATTACCAGACATGGTTGTGATCCTAATTAAGTCTCAGCGGGTGGAAAAAACAATAGTCTAAGACCCATTACAGCATTAATAACACAGTTTCATCAATGCTGCAATTGTTAAATGTGTGTGTTTGCCTAGTAAATGGTTCACCAAGACACTGCACATAGATTGCTTTATCTATAGTAAACAATTGACTCCAACAAGGGTCGGAGACATATGCAGTGTCACTAGGTTCACCAATAAACCACCAGTAAACTGATTCTACAGAGTGTGTCCTGCTACAATTACCTTTTTGTTTCAAAATTCAATCAACAGTTTTGTTGATGAAATGTGCATGGCCATTTCTACTGATCATAATTCCATTGTTGAGGTCTACTAAAATAGATTTATATTGTGCAATTTTCCAAACTCACATTGGTTTCTCATACAGCATCTCTGTATAGTATGTGTATTCACTCTCTGTCCTAAACGGCTTGTTGGAGCTCCTGCCCCCCCCCCCCCTCCCTGTGAGCCCAGTGTGCTCTGATTGGTCGAGAAGTTGCGAGGCTCGCTGCTCAGTGAGCTGGCTTACTGGTGTGGTTTCCGGGTCGGCGATACAGCGAGAACAAGCGAAACTCATCCTGAGCACACACAAACACTCACAGCCGAAGTAAAAACAATAAGTGTGGCTTGATATTGAGTAAGAAAAAGGTTTATAAACGCTGTGAGAATGGGTCTGTGGAGAGCATTTCTCCGCGATCCCAACTCGTCTATTACCAACCAGGGAGATCTATGCAAGTCAATGGGACTCCCTGTTAGTTGAACATTTACGCTAAAGGTCCTGGTGTGTGAGGAGCTCCGCGGATTGGTCCATTTTGGTTCCCGGAAGAAACAAATGGAAAAAGAGAAAACTCCAGCGAGGCGTTCTGGGGCAGCATAGACAGGTCTTTTCTGTGTTAGAGTTTTACTCTCTACAGGGTGTACTTTGAGGGTTTGTGACTCTCCAGACCGTTTACATGCATAAAAACCTTCATAACACACAAGGGGACGGGTAATAACCAGAAAAGCATGACATGAGACCTTTAAAGCAGCTCACCAGAATAAACAAAGTATTGACTTAATCCTGAGTCTACTGTACAGGACATATGATTTTCCTTAAGAAAATTAAGGTAATACTACATTTGTTGTAGAGTCCAAAGTTACAGGTTTCGTTAATCCCATAAAGAGATAAGGGCCATAATATTACCTTATCAATAGAGCCCATAAAGGAAAGGTTAGAGGTGTATCGAAACCACACTCTTGGCAAAGCTTGAGTAAAGGTTTCCCGGGCTTTACATTTGATCTTGAATATGTCTTAGATTATGGCTTAGCACAGAAGTTTTCTTAATGAAAGAAATGTACATGATTTATTTGCCTCATATTTAATGAGATGATTCTATATATAGTCGACATCCAAGACATTTAAGTCAATTAAAGCAACAATGAATATTGATTGGTTTGATTGTCTGCCGTTCTGTGCATGCGTCACGGGGCTGCAAGCAGTAATCATCATTTTAGGTGTCATAGCCGAAGAATATTCTAGCAATTAGTGGTTGCCCATGATGCCATTTTCTGTTTCATGGGTAGATGCCGGATTTGAGGTCTCCATGAAATGAGACAGTCTCAAGACAACTTACAGTATAAAGGTGAAGCGAGTATCTGTACTAATGTTATCTTGTTCTTTTGTTCACTTCTGAAGCCTAAAACTTCCTCGCTATTTGTGCTTTTCCAGAGTATAGTGTGGCTTGATTCTGTGTTGATTTGATGTGCTTTTTAATTATACTTAGGATAAAACGTTCCTATTAATAATGTGAGGAGTAACCTGTGTGAGCCGGTAGTATTGTGCAGATATGGCGACAGGGATCATAATGAAATATACCAGCCACAGGCCATTATTCATCATTTAAACCAACACTGGTCTTTCACAATCACCTCGAGGAGAACAACCATTCAACAATGACTCACAATGACCTTTTTTGTATAAAGAGTCCTGTTGGTTATGCAAACACCACATTGAAATAAATGTGTTTCTGTAAACACAGTATGTGTGGGTGGAAAGCCTTTTTGAAAAAGAATGAAATAAACGTATCACTGATAACTTTTTAATCAAAGTAATTCTTT